GCCCAAGGACACAACGACCGAGACTGTCCAAGCCGGGGCTGGAACCGGCAACCTTCCAATTACAAGGCGAACTCCCAACTCTTGAGCCACGATCGCCCCTGTGAGGTTAGAAAGCTGATTCTGCTCATCTGGACGTTTTCAGTGGGAGAAACGTTTCATCATCATCAGGTGACGTCTTCAGTCTCAGCTGACTGCAGGTTTCTTATAAACAGTACATTTGCATAATGACTGAAACCAGCACCAGTGAAGGAACAATGAGCTGAGGTCAGTTTATCATCATAATTATGCAAATTCTCATCACCATTGATCAACAACCACTGATCAATAACCATGAGTACCATTCACAGAGAGTTGGGGAATGGCTGCAATCACAGCATGTAAGATGGTGACAGATGTTCCTTTAGGCCCCTCCTCCATTCAGAGATGGTCTTTCCCTTTTCATGTAAATGTCCTCCTTGACTCCGCCCTCAAACCAGCGTTCCTCCCTGTCCAGGATGTTACATCCTCATCATTGAAAGAGTGTCCACTGGCCTGTAGGTGTGAACAGACTGCAGAGTCCTGACGAGGTCGCTCTTCTGTGTTGTAGCCAGAGGTTGTTTGGTTTCCCCGATGCATGCTGCCAATCCTCCTGCACTTGACAAATGTCCAGCTGGAATAACCACGTTTACTCAGGGCCTTCGTGATGGTGCCCCCATGTTTCTACCTGTAGTACTGACCCTTGTAGCCTCAGTGTCCTGTTCTTAATGACAGTGTGACACCGGTGTGGTCTTCTGCTGCTTGAAGGCTCAGAGATGCTCTTCTGCACGTTGATTGAGTTGACTGCCTGTTGCCTACCTTTCAGCTGAAAGTGGTCAACAACCACGTGCCAGGTTCAATCATGTTTCTTCCTCACTCTGAGGCTCAGCTTCATCACGTCCACATACCTGAATGCACGTGCAGGTGCAGGTACTTTCCCAGTAAACGAAGCCTTTAACTGCTCACACCTGCAGCCAGGTGAGCGTGAGAGATTAAACAGAGACAAAGCAATAAAGATCCGGAGACGCTGCGAGGGTACACTGAACAATCCTTTTCTTTATTCTTTTTTGTTATCATTTCAATATGTCTGTCAGGGTTTGTTTTTTTTAAAGTTTTTATTTTAAATTAAAATTTTGACACACTTATAAAAGACAGCATCTGCATAGAGTTGTCATCTTAAAGATCCATGAAGAGAGAGAGAGAGAGAGAGAGAGAGAGGAGGGGAGAGCGAGAGAGGGCGGAGGGGGGCGGGAGAGAGGAGGGGGTGGGCAAGGGTTGAGGAGGTGGGGGGAATACTGGCACGTCACATGAACTAAACAGAACAGCCAACAGCAGTACAAGAGAGGGGGGAGGAGGGGGAGGCGGGGGCTGGAGGGGGCAGGGTCGGGGGGGAATGTTTTCTTTCTGGAGGGGGGAGAGGGTTGGGGTGGTGAGGTGGAGTGGGGGGGGACAGATCGCTTTTACATTACGCTACGCACACATACACACACAAAAAAAACGGGACACAAGTTGCATTTCCGGTCAAAGTTGCGCGCGGCGCCCCCGTCCTCTCTCTTACTCAGCGCTTTGCTTTTTTCTGACCTCAGGGCTCCGCCTCCCACCTGCCGCCCCCCTCCCCCGAGATAGCTTTGTTCCTCACTCACCACATGCCCTAAAAATCAGGTGGGGTTCACGCTTCTTTCAATTACGGTGTCTGAAGTTCCCGCGCCATGGCCGACGCCTCTGCATGATAAAGACAAGCCCTTGTTTCTCTGAATATTGCACGCTTCGTCAGGTTAGGCCTGTGTGAGGCTAGAGAGCGGGCCTGAAACCAGGTGGTGGCGCTGGTGGCCGTGGCGTGGAGGAGACGCTGAGCCGTCAGACCAGGTGAAACCACAGGAAGTGGACCGCTTCACCTGCGTGTCGTCTGGAGCTGAGACCTCCACCGGGAACTCGTGAGGACTAAACGATGGAAAAGCCACGCAGAAGGAAGACTGCGGCGGCAGACGAAGGTCATCTAACCATCGGAGACGATGATTCTTCTACTGAGATGGACGACTCCGTTAACCGAGTCTCGGTTCTGACGGGCGGAAGCAACCTGGCGCCGTGACACCACGCCGCTTTCGTCAGTCAGATTGTTTACAGTGCAGCAGGATGATATTGGATATGGCTAAGTGCTGGCAGGTTGAGTCTTTTAGACCTAGGCTCAGGCTAAACTCTGGGGAAGCAGTCAGGTAAAGAGGCGGAGCTTTCGGTGTGTCGTTTGGCGAGCTTGCTTCAGCTGAGATTGAACAGGACGGCGAGAGAGGGAGAGTTTAAAACTGCTGACTTGGCTTCCAAAGTGACGTGCAGGTGTGGCCTGGAAAGCCCTGAAGGCGGGCTTAGTTTTCCTAATATGGAGGGAAGCACTTTCATCAGAGGAGCCAGTGGGTGGAGCCTCTGGACCTGGGGTAACAGATGGAGGCGTGGCTGCATTTGTGCCGCAAAAACCTGTGTGGTGTTTTCATTCGCTCCTTCAGAAAGAAACTAAGAGACACGGGCACTCAAAGGGACGGCGGCACCGCTCAGCGGGCGTCCTGCTACTAAAAACACCGCCGTGCCTTCTCCGTCCACAGGCGGGCGCAGACACAGCTTCGGAACTGAGCGTGTGCAGACGCGACAATAGGAAGCCAAGTTTCTCCTCGTCTCTGCTGTCGCAACTCAGCTGCACGGTACGAACAGAGGGGGCGCCACAGCGAGGGCGGGCGAAAGAGGCGAAAGAGGACAGAGGCGGGCCTGCGTGCAGACTTTGACGGGAATAGATATCTCAGTAGATTTATACATAGACATGCAAGTCATTTTTTCTCTCTTTGAAGTTATTTACAATAATTACATAACACAAAGAATCCAGTTTCAGTTTGACAAAATTGCGAGCATTCAATATTCAATATGACTACTATTATTATGATAACATAACTCCTTTGTACTTTAAATCATTGCTATTATAGAATCGTCACCTCCATCTTTAAAGTTGATTCGATCACGTTGTGAAGCCGTTCGGTCTCCCTCCGGGTTTTTGCAAATGTTTACTGCATCTTTATTTGTCTGTTTGGTAATAATCATAGTAATAACAACAGTAATAATGAGGATAACGATGTTATTATCTTTCCTACTTGTTATGGCAGGGGTGGTTATGGGCGTGGTCTGTCTCTATGGCCCCTCCCCTAACCCCTCCCACCCCTCCCACTAGAGAACATAAACACTGTTTAGAGTGAATACTGTCGGAGAGCAACGGGACGAGCGTGAGCGCCAAATAAAGAACACTGAACATGTTTGTGATGTCATCGCGCAGAGCGGGGCGCCGAGCACGTTTTGGTTTTTCAAAATGGTTTCAGGAAGACAAAAATCAGCGTGGAGGCGGCTTAACTGCGCCGAAGACAGACGCCGCTGTGCTCACGAGTCAGCGTGCAGAAATAACCGCAGAGCGCTGGAACGCGACCCCCGAGTCGGCCCACACCGCATTACTCCCACACGGGCTAACGGCTAACAGCTAACGGCGAGTCAGGCTATGGCGTCTCGCGCTCAAACTCTCTTCACGTGATTTTTTCCAGCGTTGTGCGCCCGCTCTGTCAGAAATGGAAACAACAGAAAGGCTGAACGGCGGCGAACATCCGGATGTGACTCAGATTTATCTGTTTGTGTTTTTGTTGCGTGCACATGTGATGTCACACGACTCTCGCACAGGAAGAATGCTCGCTGGAGGATGATAGGGGCGCTCTGAAGAGAATCTGAGATCAACCTTTGACCTTTACCACATCTGCTGATGCTTAACTTTCTCTCTCCGGCTGTTCGGAGGAATGTGGGGGGCGTGGCCTGTAACCCTGCAGCGGAGCGTTGATCCTGCAGCGTGAAGACTGTGCAAACAAACCGGGACTCACGTCACGGATGTGTCATGTTTTCAGTTCGGACTCTGAAGGTGGAGGGAGAGAGGCGGGTCGGTCTGATTGATGGCGGTGGAGGGGGCGGGGCTGGCGTTTAATCGTTTCTATTTGTATATTTACTCTCTATTTGTAAACTCGACTCGCGTTGTGCTCTTTGAGATTAGCGGCGAACATTTGGATGGGAGGGCGGAAATGCTTTGGTCTGAATCGAATCAACGCCACGGCGGTAACAGTGATCATGGCGTCTGCAAGCTTCTCTCCTCGCTTCTGTCGCAATCTAAAAAAAAAAAAAGTGGAATTTTGAAACCTGCTGCAACCCGCCCACCTGCGATTGGACGCTTCGCACACTGAAACACACTCGTGCTGCTTCAACACGCACACGCACACACACAAATGCAACAGTGGAAGCGAACACGCAGACATCGGGAGGCGACGGAGGCGTCCGAACCCGGCGGGAGGGCTGGAGTTCGTGGGATGGGAATTTAACCTTTCACATTTATTTAAACATCACACCGGTCTCTGGAGAAAACATCGTAAGAATGACGCGTCACGAACGAAAGTAACTGTGAAGTGTTTCCATAGAAACCAAACGGGGTCTGATTGGCGGTAAAGTGCACGACGTGAAGGGCGAGGCGGGGAGGTGGGGTACAAAAAACACCATCATGCAAACTCCACAACGCTTTTGCATGCCTTTTTTATTACCATTATTATAAGTAGTACACACAGTGGGATGGGCGGGGCCTGCAGGGCGAAGGGAGGGGGCAGACTCCGACCCTCTGCGCCATCTTTTTGTACAACCAAACATCTACAGCACGACAGGAAGAGACGAGAGGACGGGGCGGGCAGACGTGCCGACGACCATTTGAACCTTCACGTAGCCGAATCTCCAACTGTTGCCTGCGTGGGTTTCGTGAGGTTTTGTCCATGTTTTCGAGAGGATGGCGGCGGGACCCGACGAGCGACCGCCACGCAGGAGCGGGAACTTCACAGAAAACAAACACTCACACATGGCAAAATCAGTGTCAACAAGCTGGCTGGTGCTATGACGGCATCCTCGCATCCACCACAATCACCAACCCGAGACTGCCGCGACGACCGCGACGCCGCCTGGACAACCGTCAACCGCTTGAACGAACGAAGGACGATGAACGAAGCAGCCAATGGGGACGTGGGTTTAGGTTCTCTAAATGTCCGAGGGAGTCGTGTAAACGCAGGTAAAACAAGCACACTGGTTCATACTGAGTCGACAGCTCTACATGTGAAAACACCGAAAACCAGAAGGAACGAGCAGAGAGAAAAGTGCGAGATCGACCTAAATCTACAGACACGGCACATGACCACACATCTGCTGGGCTCTTTGGAGGAGAGGGGCGGGGGCGGGGTCTGCGAGCTTTGGTGAACGCGCGTTACGTTTTGGTTTTGGGAAGCCAAGAATGAAACAAAACAGGCTACACGGCACCACAGACATCTAAAGCTAATGCTAAAGCTAATGCTAGCTACTGTGATGGGTCAGAAAACACGTTTTCCACAAAACAACATTTGTTTCCAACGCTCGAGCTGGCTGAGGAGGACGCACGACTGCCAAACTAACGTCAGCTTCCTGTCGGCAGGTCTCTACAGAGAAGCAAAAAACAGCTTTGACTCGTTATGAAAGGCGGTGTGAAGCTCTGAAAAGCTTCAAATAATACATTTCTCAGGAAACACGAAACAAAAACTGTAAGTCAGGGACGTCGGCAGCCCGATCAGGGTCTAAAAGATCCAGAGCAGAACAGGTGAAACCGGAGAAGACGCCGTCAAACAAAACTAACCATGAGCGCTGAGCAGGAGGGGACCGTGAGGTTTTAAGGTGGTGGTCGTCCAGCGAGGCCTCAACAGAAGCAGATGAACCTCCGTATCACAGAGCCTGAGCGTAGACGACCCTTCCTCTTCAACGCCGCGGTCCTACATGTTAGCGCAGGCGGTGGCGCGATCTTCAACACAGCACGCAGTCCTGAGGCTGTTTGCTGCGTCACATTTCTTAATCAGCGGTCTCTGTAAGGAGTCCTGCAGACGTTCAGCTAACCGCTAATCTTCAGCCGCCTTTGTCCCGGCGCCAGTCTGGACAGAAACGTCTTTAATGTTTAAAAAAGGAAGAAAACTGATGACCGATCTGTAACGAGCAGCTTCTACATAATCTACACGAAACACAAGCTAACGCTACAGCATGCTATAAGCGACGCAGTCACTGGTTTGATATGTAACACGGGGAATTCGCGAGTTAGGGGGCGAGTGTCCAGTGTGTCTGCATGAAAAGATAAACATGGATTCATGCATGAGCTACTGCTGCATTTAATGCACCGCGGAATTTGGAAATCAGCACTGGGAATGACATCCGAGCCGTCAACGTTCCCGCAGGTTTGCTTTGCTGCTTTTCCACAGAGAACACAAAAGCAGACGAAGGCGTTCAGAACTGATTTGAACTCATGAACAACGTCATGTTAATCAGAAACTTCCCAGGTTAATGAAACTGGAAATTCCAAATTCCCGGTTGCAATCAAAAGCAGCATATGTTGGGAATTTATATGAATGTATGTGTGTCACATGTTCCACCTTCCACAGAGAAAATCCACCTTCTGCTGGTCAGTAGCACCTGTGCAACTCATGCGCTCACACAGCGTGGATGAAAAACCGCACACACACGCACGCACACTCGGGGCTGCAGGTGGGATCTGGGCGAATGCTTTAAAACGTACAGACTAAACATTAACAGCTAAATCGTGTCAGGCCGATACGTCACGGGACGCGTCACACGCACCAAAACAGCAGCACCACGGAAACAACGAAGCAACAAACGTTCCCCATCAAGAAACGGGAAAGCAACGATATCACCGCGACACTCAGGTAACCAGGGCAACCAGCGCTTCTTAGTGTAGTTACATTTGTTTTTCTTCTTTACTTTTTAATGCGTTCTCTTCATTTTTTAGGATCTTCCGGAAGAACAGCTGCGACAGCTTCGAGATGACGACCGCGGACCTGATCAGATCACCGAAATGCCCAATCCTCATTGGCTGTCCCAGTGGCGGGGAGGCGTGGTTTTCTAAACTGCATAGATTCCTCTTGCTCGTCCGAACCCTCCTGTCCCCTTCTTCCCCATCGTTCACCTGTCAGTCAAACGTCACGGTCTTTTCTGCCGCCAGCCAATCAAATTCAGCCTGACAACCAGAGGCCCTCCCCCTCTTTGGTTGGATAGGTGTGACGAAAAGGGGAGGTTCTTGCCGCGGACACTCCTCCCTCCCCCGAACTCAGAGGGAAGCGTGTCACGGTCAACGTCCTTGTTGCGTCCTAAATAACGCGTGGCAGGCCGGGCTTCGCCAGGTTAAGCTAATTTCATTGGCTGACTGAGGTGAACGCCAGGAGTGAGCAACCAATGAGAGGTGGTCTAAAGAGGCAGCGGTGAAACCCCTCCTAGCAACAAGGGGGCGGAGCGTGTTCTGCCAAAGCCGGAGGGTGCTCGTTCTGCAGGCTGACATTCCGGAACCTTCGGCTGCTTTTCCCGTCTGCGCTCTGGAACAGGAAGTATTCCAGGGCGCAGCTCGGGAACGCTCCAGAGTTCCAGAATGTGATAGAAACATGTTCTCTCTCTTTTTTTTGGCCTTTTATTTCGTTATCTGAGCTCGTTCCCGAAGGCGCTAAGCTCCGGAGCCTCGACGGGCAGAACTCCCACCCGGCAGCCGTCGCCGTCACTGTCCTCGGAGACTCCGGAAAAACGAAAGAAACTTTTAAAAAATAAGAAAAGAGGCAAAACAAGCAAACAAACAAGTAAATGCCATATTATAGGTCATCAGTTTTTACAGGTAGCTAACCCACGTGTTGCTTCATGTTCGATACATTTACATGTACATCTGTAATAAATAGGTTTATCTGTACCCTCTTTTGTATATGTGGTGTAGTCAGTCAGCTATGATGTCATGGTGTTTTCTCGTGGTTTTTTCTTGTTTTTTGAACCCCACCCGAACCCGTGGTGTTTCCTCTTATCTGTGATTGGGTCGTTATCTCTTCCTAGCTGATTGGTTATCTGTCTTGCATTTGTGTTTCAAGTTTTTGTGTCGTCGTTGGTGTTTCTTTTCTCTGCTGGCTGTCGGTCGGACGGTCGGTCAGTCGGTGTTCGGTCGTCACGGCAGCAGGTGGCGGAGCGCGTTACATGCCCAGCGTGCCACCGATGGACGACGCCAGGACCACGCCGAGGATGACACAGCAGATGATGATCATGATCTTCTTCTGCGGGGCGACGACAGAAAACAGAGCGGTGGTTAAAGATGTCAAGCGTACAAACTCTACACATCATCTCGCTCATAACACAATTGGGGGCTCATCCGGGATCCCTTACCTTGCGAGCCTGGCTCTGGTATTTGACGGCCTTCTTGGTGTCGGAGACGGCTCGCTCCACGTAGTCGACGGAGTGCTCCACGTTGTACTCGATTCTGTCAATCATCTCGCCCTAAAGAAACACACGGGAGGCAGAATTTAACTCGACCCGCCCCACGGCAGCCCTTTGACGGGCTGCATTAATTTCCTGTTGCATCACGGGACGCACCTGGCTCTCGACCAGCATGGCCATGTCGACGAACATGTCGTGCAGCTCACGGATGCTGTTTTCCAGCTTGATGATCTCAGTGTGCCGGGTCTCGATCTCGTTCAGGGCCTGCTTCGTCATCTGAGAGTCCATTTTGATCTGCGAGGCAGGTTCACACAGGTCACAACAGCGATTGAGTAAGTTTTTCCACCACTCTGATTTGCTTGTTTTTAATTTTCTCTCCATATTTATTGTCATCAGATTTTTTATATCAGTCGTACAAATGAAGTCAAGAATCGAAGATCTTCTACTCTTCTCATGTTTTCATTTATAGAAGTTATTAAACTATTTAGAAAAAAATGCATAAATGTTTTTAAAGATTAAATTAAATTACATTTTATAATAATTTCAATACAATTAGAAATTTCTTGACAATCTTTCAAATTAAAATCATATCAACCATTTTTTGTGAAAAAAGTGAGCATAAAGTATTTTTCAGTTGCTTTTCGATGGATAAGTAAAACTAACAGGATCTTCCTTTCAGATGGTTTTATTGTGGAAAAAGTGAAACTATGTGAAATATTTTTAGGCTCTCTTTTGGTTCTTTTTGAG